TTTCAAAAACAAGTTACAAAGTGCTTTAAAAAGTGTAAAGAATAATACAAAAAAAACAAGATAAGAGCATGAAAACATTGAAAAGACTAAAATACAGATTAATATAAAATTAGTAAAATACAATAAAATAAAAGGGATAAAATAAAGTCAAATAAGATCGGGAAAGGCTCTCCTATAAAAGTATGTTTTAAGAAGGGACTTAAAAGAGTTCACTGACTCAGCCGACCTGATTTCCTCGGGCAGGCTGTTCCAGAGCCTCGGGGCCCTGACAGCAAACGCTCTGTCCCCTTTAGTTTTCAGTCGAGACTCTGGAACAGACAACAGACCTCTGCTCGAGGATCTCAAGGTACGTGCTGGTGCGTATGGGACTAAAAGGTCAGAAATATAACAAGGCGAGAGGCCATGAAGAGCTTTAAAAGTGATCAATAGAATTTTAAAGTCAATTCTAAAACATACTGGGAGCCAGTGTAATGAAGCTAAAATAGGAGTGATGTGGTCATATTTCTTTGTTCTGGTTAAAAGCCTGGCAGCTGAGTTCTGGACAGTCTGGAGTCGATCAATAGATTTTTGGGTTAAACAGGTGAAAAGGCTGTTGCAATAATCCAGGCGTGATGAGATGAAGGCGTGTAAAATGGTCTCGGTGTCCTTAAAAGTTAACATAGATCGAATTTTAGCTATATTTCTAAGTTGATAAAAACATGATTGGACAAGCTTTGTGGTGTGCTGCTCGAAATTTAAATTACTATCAAACCAAACACCAAGGTACTTTGCCACAGGCTTAATGTGATTTACTAGGGAACCAGCAGATGGCAGTATTTGATTTGCCATCTGCTGAGACCCAATGACCAGGATTTCTGTTTTGTCTGAGTTCAGCTGGAGGAAATTATTTGACATCCATTTTTTAACTTCACAAAGGCAGTTGTTAAGTGAACTCAGCATTCCATGGTCTGTGGATCTGACGGGCAAGTATATTTGTGTGTCATCAGCATAAATATGAAAAGAAATGCCATGTTTATGGATAATATGTCCAAGGGGAAGCAGATACAAGGAAAACAAAATGGGTCCTAAGACCAACCCCTGAGGCACACCATATTTAACTGGACAGAGTGAAGAGACATAGTTGTTTACAGACACGCAAAACTTCCTATTTGACAGGTAGGATGAAAACCATTCTAGGGCAGTACCAGAGATCCCCACCCAGTGCCTCAGTCTGTCTAACATGACATTGTGATCAATGGTGTCAAAAGCAGCGCTAAGGTCCAGGAGTACAAGGACTGAGCACATGCCTTCATCAGCAGACATTAAAAGGTCATTGGTGACTTTAAGCAGGCAGCAGTCTCAGTGCTGTGGTACTTCCTAAAACCAGACTGAAACTTTTCCAGTACAGTGAGCAGCTGTTTGCAATAAAAGGCAGTTTTGAAATTGGTCTAAAATTATGTGGGAGGGAGGGATCTAAACCAGGTTTCTTTAAAAGTGGGTTCATGCAAGCCGTTTTAAAATAATCAGGGACACAACCAGTAGATAGGGAGCTGTTGAAAACAGAGATCAAATGGGGCCCAACAGAATCTATTACTTTCAGTAAAACTTTGTAGGTATTACATCAAGTGGGCTGGAGGACACTCTCATTTGTGATACTGGTATACTGTTTTACTAATGTGTACTGTTTTAAAGCTCAGAGAAGTCGATGGGATAAAACTGGTTAAAACTCTCTTGTTGCTGGTGAGGAACCTCTGAGTAAGAGGCCACGGGGGTAATAGAGGCTCTGATTGACACCACCTTATTGGTAAAATAAGATAAAAACAATTCACAGTCATCATTACTTCCAGCTGAGGCACAAGGAGGGGTTGGGTTTACCAGCTGATCCACAGTCTTAAACAGAAACCTGGGATTGTGTTTATGTGTAGTAATGAGTTCAGAAAAATAGTGTGTTCTCGCATCCTTAACCATGTTATTGTAGTTAATTAATAAATCCTTCAGACTGAGGTAATGGACTTGGAGACTGGATTTTTTCCATCTGCGCTCTGCTTTCCTGCATTCCCTTTTGAGGCTGCGAATGCTGTCATTTATCCAGGGTTGCTTACTAGCTTTAGACGTAGGCCTAACCTTTAGAGGAGCAGTAATATTTAGTGACGACAAGCAGATATGATTGAAGTGATCGACCAGATTGTTGGTGTTGGAATCAGACAGGTGTTGGCTTTGGCTCTGAAAGAATGCGCAAAACTTTGAAACACTTTGTTCATAAAAGATGCGAGAACACACGGAGCTTGGTGAGGCGGCGTGAGTAACAGGCGAATCGCAGCTAAAAACAATACATCTGTGGTCAGATATGGTCATGTCCACTAATTCCACAGAGGAAATGCTGACACCCAGGGTAAAAAGTCCAGTGTATGACCACGGTTATGTGTTTGCCCTTTGACATGTTGTTTGAAGTTAAAAGAAGTGGCCATATTGAAAAAGTTAGTTGCATTAACATTGTTGGGGTCATCAACATGAATATTAAAAATCGCCACAAAGAACAATTCTGTCATAATTTAAAACCAGAGTAGATAAAAATTCAGGAAGTTCTGATAAAAATCCTCCAGGCGGTTTTGTAGGGCGATAAATTATAACAAATATGATAGGTTGCAGCCTTCCAACTTTAAGAGTGAGAACTTCAAAGGAGTTAAATTCATCACAGTGTACTTGATGACATTTTTAATTTTTCCTATACACGCTCACTAGCCTACCACCACGACCACTGACCCTCGGTTGACTAAAACAATCATTTTGAGACGGACACAGTTCAGCTAAATGGCTATAGTCATTCATTTGCAACCAGGATTCAGTTAAAAACATAAAATCTAGATTTGCAGACAAGATAAAATCATTTAAGATAAAAGTCTTACTTGAAAGTGATCTCACATTGAAGAGAACCAGAGTTTGTTTTGGGTGCTGGAGTTGGTGCAGTTGTCCTAATCCTTAAGAGATTACTATTATTTATGTGTGGGATGTGCACATTTCGGTTTAAACTTAAGTTAAATAAAAAGGATATAAGAAATGTAACGAAAAAGAGTGGATTAAAACTGGATAAGAATTCAGTTTAAGACGGAGCTTCCGACAGGTGGCTACAGACGCCAACGTATGCGCAGAGTGCAGATTACGTCAGCAATTACGTCAGCGATCTTGTGACAAGATGATGCAAGGTTTGCTATAATTGCTATTTAAAAAAAAACATACAAGTGTTTCTACTTTACTGCAGATGACTGATGATGGTTGGACTGTTATTTAATTACATGGGGTTCAAAACCTTAGCCCTTCCCACAATCCAAACATGTTTGCCTCTTAACAAAATCCAGTATAGTATATGAACATACAGGTACATCTCAGAAAATTAGAATATTGTGTAAATAAAAGATTTTTTAGACATAAAGTGAAAAACTAAAAGCCTTTTATGTTTTAATTTTCATGATTAGCAGCCTTCAGAAGATTGTCAAACAAAGCCGATTCAAGAACTTGGGGGAGTTTCACAAGGAGTGGACTGAGGCTGCAGTCAGTGCATCAAGAGCCACCAGGCACAGACATGTCCAAGAAATGAGCTACAATATAACAGAACTAATATTCTTTTTTTTTTTTTTGATTTCCATGAGCTGTAAGCCATAATCATCAAGAGTAAAACAAATAAAGGCCTGAATTTCACTTTATGTGTAGTGAATCTAGACTACATTCACTTTATGACTTCAATTATGGGGAAAAAATAAACCTTTTCACAATATTGAAATTTTCTGAGATGCACAAGTAATTCTGGGGATATAGAGTCGATAACAGGACAGAAGCCTGTGGCCACGCCAGATGTTTGATGCTGGATGTTGTATTTTTGTGGGAGCATCTGAAACTTTAGTTTTGAATCCCCTGAACATCTGTGCAGATCTGGGAGACCAATTGTAAATAAATCTGCCTTTTCATCATCTACTGTAGCTGCTCAGTGAACTACAGCAGCAGACTGTGAATGTGAAACAGGCAGAGCTGAAGAAAGTGCATGATCAGCAAAACATTTGACTGGATAATTAAGCATTAAAAAGTTGTCATTGTCTGCTTAAAGCTTTTTAAATTAGCTGTGTTTTACTCACATTTCACGTTAATAGAGACTAATCCAGATGTCCTCCTCCCCAGATCATTCTCTACTGCACAGTAATACCCTCTAGAGTCAGAGGGCAAGATGGAGCTCAAGATAAGCTGTGGTTCTTTACTGGGAAAATGAAGGTTTGGATTTCCATGATATTTATACCAGGTATAAGTAGCTGCTGGGTTAGCATCACTGCTGCAGGTCAGAGTCACTGAACTGCCCTCCACTATCTCAGCAGAGGGACTCACTGACACAGAGGGAAGCTTTGGAGCATCTGGAGGAGAAAACGTGAACACATTTAATTTCAAGATGAGGTTGAGTTTTCACAAAACAAAGCGGTGGTGCAGCTTAATTTCCTCCTTTATCAGAAACAGCATGGGTTTCTATTACCATGGATACAAGCTGGACACTTTGATACAGTAATACAGTACAATAGGTTAAAGGCTCCACCAGATGGTGTCATGTCAGTGGAAGACTGGATGTAAACTCACACACTGAAGGAGAGCGGGACTTCTCATATCCTCCTACAGCACAGGAAAAACTGTCTGTAGGCTTAAAGGAGGCTGAATAAGAATTAGATGTTTGTCCCCCAATGTTCTGTCCATTCTTGTACCAGACGTAGTAATGATGACCAGGTGAAAGACAACTGCTGTGACACTTCAGCTCTGCCCAGTTATAAGACTCCTGAAATCTGCTCACCTGCACCTGGAGATCTGAATCTGTGAATAAGGAACAGAAATCTTAACTTTAGACTGAACTGTCAACATAGAAACACAGTAACCTTCATAAGATGTTGGACATTTGGAACTAAATAAATAAATATTCAGATGAAAATGTTACCTGTGACAGACAGAGTGACTCCAGGTGAACCAGTATATTTCCCACCTGGTTGGTTTGTTATGAACATGAACTTGTACTCAGCTGAGTCGCTCTCTCTCAGGTCTGTGATTCTCAGAGTGCAGAAGTTTTCATTACAGGTATACTCGACACGACCTGAATACTCTGACTTTGTTTTCAGATCCACAATTTCATCACCTTTAAACCAGAATGTTTTCTCAACTGTAGTATCGTGGCCATTTATTGTGGACAGGTATTTAATGGTGCAGTATATGTACACAGTTGATCCTTTGAAGGCACAGATCTCAGTATAAGTGTACGTCACTCCCCAGTCATACTGACTCTGTACCACTGTAACACAGAGCACATCAGACACAATCAACATTAACAACTTCATTTAACAATCAGACAAAGTGGATCAAACTACCAATATGGTTTGAGGGAAACGTAACCTGAACAAGCTTCAAAATCCTGAATTATCTGCAGTCATTGTCACAGAAAGTTTATAAGGTGTTTGTCATATTTTAATGTTGTGAAAAGTTGGGTTTCTGCTTGTGTCCATTCATTCAAAAAAATCTAAACAAAATGCCTGAAAAGCTTATGTGTCAACACACAAGTAATCCAAACAGAAAATTAATAAAATGACATTTTATACTCTTTTCTGGGAGAAAGCAGCAGAACAGTGGTACATAAAATACTCACAGATGTTCTGTATCATTCTTCTTCCAAGTCACTTCCTAACTCCTGTTCTAAATATTAATGTTTTATTACATTTTTGATGTTATTTCTGAATAAAACCAGGGTGAACAGAGAGAAGTCTAAACACAAGTCTTGCTCAGTTATACACAGTCAGTGCAAAGGAAGATGTACACATGCTTTCTACAGTTCATCTCTATGTGCACTGAGGCAGGACATCATCCAGTCTGAAGGTGCAGTGAAGTGAACAGGAAAGTATCAGACCTGTGACCTTTAATGCAGTTTACTGACCGGGATAAGAGGAGAAATATAAATTATTAGAGAGTCTGTGCTTTTCTTGGTCAGTTCTCTCTGTTCACTCTGCGGTCAGGTTGCTGCTGAGTTAAGTGTGAAAGCTAAAAATAAATCCAGCGCACTGAGGTGTGGGAGAGTTTCTAGCAGCTAAACATAAGATGCATAAAACTGCTATCAAGATCTCTGACTTTAGCACCCGCTGAATGAGGGTAAATTGTTGGCAGATCGTCAGACCATCCGCCATTTTGGCAGACAGAGAAAACGTTCAACAGAAAGACACGTGTAGTAAGTTTAGTGTAGCCTATTATGGTGATCGGTACACACCCCTGCCTCACACACAAGACACACAGAGCAGTCAGCTCAGGTAATATCTGTGGCGGTGTTTGAACCAAACTCAGCAGTGGAAGAGGCCCAGTCCCTCCTGAGTGACAGCCGGTGAGCTTACCAGCAGCACCGGCCAGACAACAGGAGGGAACTCCGGTGTTGATGGAGAATCATAAGCTTGTCAATCAGAGACAAGAGACATCACTCGGTTTTATTTTTGTTGGCCAACTTTTGTATTGAAAGGAGTATTTTTTATTTGCTTGTTGGGATCCAGAAGAAGACGTTTTTATTGAGATATGGACCCATTCATTGGTGGTTTAACTGACTGTTAGGTTTCCTGTCATCTGTAATGTTACCTTTGAAATATCAGACTGTTAGTGATTTTAGGTTAAGTGAAATTAATGTCATGTACTAAAAGACATGCACAATGTTTTTTGTGTTTAAAATTCGAATAACATTATTTACATCACAATATGCCTAAATGAGCAGAACGTTCATTTAGTTTATCTTGGTGCATTTCTAAATTGACAGATACAATTTCTGTGTGTTAGACAAAAATACCTGCTTGTCACAGTGGCAGGCAGTAAAGAAGTTATTTTTGGACCTTGTTGCTGTCAACACAGAGCACAGAAACATCACACTGAGGTCAGACAGTACAAAAGGAACTAGCAGATGAAGATATGAGAGAAGTTGTGTCAGTATAACTTCACTGTGTGAGACCAGTAGGCCTATCTCTCTAAAACCTTCACCGTGATAAAAGTAGCTTCAAATAGGAACTATTTGAAGTCTCTGTTTCCGGTTTACACTTTCTTGTCTAATTTCCGTTGTACAAGTTGGATAATGGAACAAGCCGACGCTTTGGTGCGTTAAATTGCATTGCACGTCTTCATTCAATGCGACAATAACACAGCATAGTGCTAACATCGTTTAGGCAGCATCAGCTCTGGAAAAATGAACTCACACTGTTCAATATACATTTGCATCAGCGCAAGCAGGACAATGAAATTAGGAAATACCCCCTAAACTGGCTGTTTTCATCATACAGTGTGAACAACTGATCCTGATACTTTCTGATCCACTTATTTTCACATGTGACCTTCAGCCTTCTTTTACAAGACTTACATTTCCCAGATTCCCCTGTTTTAATGCTATAAATGTAAGTTTAGATATTCAGTACCTGACACAGAGAGAAGCAAGACGACAAATCCACTCGCTGGTGCAGTTAAACTCATAGCTGCTCCTCTCATCTCTCTGTGTGGCTTCAGAGACAATAAAACATGTCAGCAGATAAAATAATGTACACAGGAGATATACAGTATCACTCACATCAATAAATAATCCTACTTACAATGAAGAAGGGCGTTGTCTTTAAAGAAGCCTTCCTCTGTGTCAGTAAGCAGAACACGGATATCAGGCTGTTAAACTACTAGATTTCCTTCCTCTTTAGATTATTAATATTCATGATGAGCCAAATGCCAGTTAACACCAACATCAAAATAAAGAAGTAACGATTTGCAAACTAAGAACTTAATAAGAGAGAATAAGAAAATAGTGTTATGGCCTGTTGATATTAAACCTGTTTGCTGCTTCCTACTGACACAAGAAAAGAGAAAACAGAACAGACAGGCGTGAAAGTTGGTTTCATGCATCACTTGACACGTCTAGTGCATCTTTAGACAGTGAAATAACCTTTATACCAGTATGAGTTCAAAGAGATGGACTGCAGCAGTATGGGATGTAAAAAGTCACGTGCTGAGCTCAGTGTTTATTCAGTATTGAGAAACATGTAAGAAAAGTAGATCAGAAGCAATGAATTACATTTTGCAGCTCTCTCACTCACAGTCATTGTGACTCTGTGTCACTGTAACACAGAGCACATCTGACAAGATGCTGCTGGAGGTAAGACAGAAAATATGTCTTCTTGTAATTTGTGTGAAGTGACTCTTTGAAACAGGCAGTGGAGGGAGCTCTCAGAGTGAGGAAGCCTGAATGTGCCACAACAAAGGTTCACCACTAGAGGGCAGTGAAACATCACAGAAACTGAAACAGGACGCTGAAACATTACTCAAACCAATGAATGGATTATCAAAATAGTTGGCGATAAATTTAATAGTTGGCAATTAATCATTGCAGCTCTAGATTGTGTGTTGCTTTCAGCCTGTCCACCCCATTATCCCCAGGTCAGATCTACCGGTGTGCATTTCTCTCTAACACCACAGTGTATTTTCTTTGCTGCTTATCACTGAGAGTCACCAAAGTTAGAAAGTTGATGCTCATTGTGGCTCTATAAAGACACACAGCCCTGAAACTGTAAGATGCAACTTTTAACTAATTGACTGATGAAAATGGCTTCAAAAACTCACTTTACCATGAAGATAAACATGAGCATGACAAATACTCTCAATTCCATATTTTCCTGATACTTACTGACAGTACACCAATATTGTTACTTCACAGCTGTATTACATTAGTTAATACACATACACTCACTGATGATATGGATAATCAGGTGGGTGTTAGTGGTTTTACTTTTACACTGTTATTCTTAACGGTATATTCTTTCATGCAAAAAAGAAAAAACCCACAAATCAACATGTTAATAAAAATATTCTTAACATGTTGATTTGTGGGTTTTTTTAACCTGTCCTGTCCAGCAGTCTGTTACACATTATGAAGAGCTGGATGTTGTGATAGACAGATTATTATTGAAACTATTGGTTTGTTGTTCTTACCATCATTTTAACTTCTGTAACGAACTTGCTGAATGAAGGCTCATAGAAGCTCTTAATGAAGGGCTTTTGCTCTGAAAAGCTTCAAATTAAGTGAACCTCGACCTGCTCTGCTTCTATGAATGACCCCAAACAATTTAAGTGGACTAAATTGAGATTTACAGCTGAAATGAATGTTAAATTCCTCTTCATTAAACTGTCTGTGCATCTTTATATCAGCAACATCCCAAATCATAATAATCTGTTACACTGTGGCACATTTCATCCTCATAGTGACAAGAACTGACTGTGTGAGCAATAAGCCAAGGCAAGATTTTATTTGTCTGGTAAATAAAATAATATTATGGAAAATAAGCAGAAAAGCTGAAATGCACACAGAAGCTCCTCATGAGTTAATAAGTTATTTCGTAGGGATAATTTCAAAACAAAAACAGTTTCAATAACAACTTTATTCCTCACATTCCTGACATAACTAACTAATATAACAAACTCTGCAGGAAATAATAAGCTTACATAATTTAATAATGTCAAACATCACCTGTCTATCGACTGACAGGTCATCATGATTCAGTTCAACCTGCTAACACCACCATGTTGTCCTACTTTGTCTGAAGTCTGAAATCTGAAGTCGGCCTGTTTTATTGGATGCAGGAGGCTCTAACCTGACTGGACTTCACACCATGTCTTCCTGCTGCTCTGTGTCTTCTGTCTGTGCTGCAGTGACGCCCTTCAAGTCTGAGACGTTCTCATACGCAGGACCAGAGTCTAACTGATGGGAGAGACGACAAAATGAAGCTCAATGTACCTCTTTCATGAAACCTGCATATAATTAGATTCTATCCAAAATGTATTTAATCACATTTACAAGTAAATTATTTGCTGAAATAGTGTTATGACAAAATGCCTTACTGGTTTCTACTCAGCAAGTTGCATTTTAACCTTAATCTCCCCACTTTTCATCATATGGTGGATTAAGATGTCTGATGTGTACATGTGTAAGTGAAGTGAAAAACGTACCTGCCACAACAGTCAAATGTAAAGTGAAGTTAAGACGTCCTCTTTTGTTCTGGGCTTCACAGTAATATTTGTGTTCAGGTCTGATGTCAGTGATGGTGAAGTTCTGTCCTGACGGAGTTATGACGTCCTCGTGTAGATGTTACAATTTGCAACACAAATTTAACTATTTGTATTTACTACATCAGAGGACTGTGGCTGTTAGTTTAGTTCACATGCAGTTCTTCTATTGATTGTGACAGACTGAAATTGTCCGCTGCACACAGATGTTGTCACTTTGTTAAGCTTCTCCTGCTGGACTGAAACTCCAGCATGTTAGTGTCCAGTCCATTGTGCGCCTGCCTGTTTTACTTGTAACCTCTTAAAATGAAGCAATATGTACTCCCATTTTGTGGCCTCAGTGTAGATATGACTTGTGAGCATTTCATGTTTTTATTTTAGGCAAAACAAAACATTACAGAACAAAGGAGATGGACCACAATAACAAAGAATTAAAAAGGAAGCAAGACAGACAACTGTAATGAGATGTAATATAATGGAGCGGAAATAACCGGAAATAATGGCCGAAATTAAAAACTGTAATAATGGAACTGGTAAAAAAAAAAAAAGAGGACAGTAACAATGTGGTCAAAATAAACTGTTTACACAGATAAGAGAGACGTGCACATTATGGGATCTAAAATATGGCTCTTGACTACAATCTAGTGACAACAGAAGGAAATTACAACTAGATTACCTAAATCATGTTCCTCTCTCCTCTTTCTCTTTCTCCCAATGAGCTTTTAAATAGCAACTATTATACTACAATTAAATAAAAAATAGTAATTACAAGCTTACCTCCTATTAGATATCTGATGCAGTACTACAGAGATAAAGTATGTCTGAAGCTATACTGTAGAAGAATTAGGAAAATGTTTGCTAGGTCTAAATTAATCTTTAATAAGGTTAAAATGTATCCTGCAGAGTTTTTTTTATCACTAGCATTATGGAGACATGGTGGGTTCTAGTTTTGTTTAGCAGGTATAATGTTTATCATTTTCACCATGTTAGTTGTGTTAGTTTCTAACATTTGTTAATTGGCACTAAACAGACAGCTGAGGATGCTGGGAATTAGTTTTTCAGCTATTTGGTCATAAACCAAAGAAGCAAATAACACATTTCAATCCATCCAATAGTTGTCAAGACATGTCACAAAAAACTAAAATGACACCCTGGTTCTGGTGCAGGGTTAAAGTCGGGATCACCAAAGTCAGTAGGATGCATCCTCTGGGAACCATAAATGTCAGTAAAAACTAGTTGTTGAACTATTTCAGTCTGGACTCTGCAAGTGGCAGACCAACTGACTGCAAAACTAACTAACCAACCACAGACTAACTTTGCCATCCCTAGAGCCTAGCACATTTAAAAATGACAGAAAGCACAGATTAGACGTTCCGGTTGTGTTCAGCAGTTTTGTTGACTGTACTGTACAATGCAGCTGGATCCTCCACAGTTTCCTGACTTCTGGTCCTGAGAAAAAAAGATAAAGATATAGTATTAACTCAAACTGCTGTGAAAATATTGTGAGCCAGGTTCAGGTGTGATGAAGACGTTTCAAGAGACTTATGAAGGCTTACCCAGCATGGTTTAATGAGACTCGGCCGAGGAGATGCAGTGCCGGCACACAACATGTGAACACATGAAATGTCAACACCACATCTGAAGGGTACTTCCTGTCTGATATTTATCCTTCCTAGACCTACACAGATTCACTAAGTGTCCAAATAAGTGTCCTTTTCTACATAGCCAGTCAGTCTGTAATGAAACAACATAAAGATAATCTTGACCTTGGGTTACCTAACAGATGTATAACAGTGCATCCTTATCAACTCAGCTGCATCAGTCAGCCAACAAGCAGGCAGAGAGGAGAGACAGAGTCTGGCCTACAGTTTTGGAGAGGCCCTGGCTGTCACCTTCGGCTTCCTTTAGCTCAGTAATTGACCCTATCATGACAGTGAGTAGTGTTGTAGTACTCGAGACCGGTCTTGGTCTCAAGTACTACAAAAAAACGTATTGCTTCAAATGCAACCGATAATCCTACTTAAAAATATGTTCTCCCTCCCTGCTATAGTAAGCATGGAAAAGGAGTGTTGAATAAAGATGTTTTTGTTGATTTCAGCTTTTAGTGTTTGTATGCGGGTGTTTTAATGGGAATGTGGATCTTTCAGATAAATTTCAGGAGTACCTATGATCTCGTTCCACATTTCATTGTGTGTCATGTAATGTGGGGAACTGGTCTTGGTCTCGACTTGGTCTCAGCCCTTAAGTCTTGTTCCAGTTAGTGTTGTATCGTTCAAAGAACGTTTCGTTCATAAGACCTAATCGTGTGTATGACTCGGGAGGAACGGGTTGTCTCATTGATTCGTTCATTTTCACGCATGTGTGAAGGATCTTGGACTCTTACGTTCACTCGTCACACGGGAGGTGCATGGGCTCCGTCAGCACAGGAAACAGAATTGATTAGTTCACGACTCTCAACTGTGGGTCTCTGGGTCTGAGTCGTTCATTTGTCACCTGACAGCTCCTACTGTGCTGACTCGTTCAGCGCTCACATGGGTCCTCCTCAGTCTTTCGTTCACTCTGCAGGCTGAGTGACTGCCAGCGCCGGAGA